AGGTAGGTATCGGAGTGTAGCTGAGGAGGTAGGAGGGAAGGGATGGTAGGGGAAAAACAAAGGAGGAGTCAACAATGCTTGGTAAGAAATGTACTCATGACCTTGCTCATGTAATTGTAACCTCTCTGTTCAGTATTTTCACAATAAAAAACTTAACTAAAAAAAAAAAAGAAGGGCCTGCCCCTTGGTAATATGCTGCTATGGTATATACTGCTGTGGTGGTATACAGGTTCAGGAGTCAACCTTCCTCGCCAGAAGACAGATGACATGTAGATTGTGCAGTGAGATGCTGTAAATAGGTGGCTTGCAGAGACAATAGTTGAACTCCTTTAGCAGTACTTCTGGAGATCCTAGTGATGCGAACCCAGAGAACTTAAACATATTCATGTAGCCCTGAGACCATGTAACCTTGAGGCCAAAGTTGGTCAGATGCTACTTTAGTCTACAGAGATTATAACTGTGTACCATTGCTGTACAGGGTGCCAGAAGACAAAGTGAGCCTGGAATAAACCATGACCCCATTCCCATATTATCTCACATCTTCTTTTTCCTGCCCGAATAATGCTTTACTTTGCCTGGATCAGAGAATCTGCAGTGCAATGCCTATGACCCCTAATTTTTTTGTGCCAGTCCTAGGGCTTGAACCCAGGGTCTGGGCAATGCCCTTGAGCTTGTGTGTTCAAGGCTAGTGCTCTACCACTTGGAGCCATAGTGGCATTTCTGGCTTTTTCTTCTTTTGCTCAAGGGTAACACTCTACTACTTGAGCCACAGCTCCACTTCTCCACTGGTGATAAATGAAAATCTTACGGACTTTCCTGCCTGGGCTAGCTTAGAACTGTAATCATCAGATCTCACTCTCTTGAGTAGCTTAGATGAACAGGTATGAACCACTGGTGCTTGGCAACCTCTAAACTTATATCGCACCCAAAGCTCCATTATGAACTTTAAAGTTATGTTTACTTCAGTGTGTGGGCTGATGGAAGCTCTGTTACTTTGCTGCTATACTCTCTGTAATCTATGGCTCTCCAGTTACTGGCTGAGGAAAAGAAACTGGAATGTGCAGGAGCTTTTCTCTATCTCTGGCTGAAAGTAATAACCTTCTCTTTCTCCTGTATATCATTGGTCAGAGCTCATTATAATGCTCTCCATAACTCTAAAAGACTTAGAAAATATACTTCTCTAAATGCAAGGGAAGGATGCTGATGAGCAGTAATAATAGCTACTACAAAATGAATTGTTTTGGACTTTATTTACCTCCTTGTCCTAAGCCTTTGGTAAATGTATTCTCCAGCTCTACTTACACTAGAGGGGGAATTTGCAGCCCTCATCAGTCTTCACATGTCAGCTGCCTTGGCTCTTGAGCATGTTACAGTGGATGGTGTACTGTGCTCGGCTCCTTCAGGTTGTCTCAGTTACCGGGCTCTTGCATAACCCAAGCTCACACCCTTTCTGCAATGCACAGTACCCCATAATTTGTTGAGGCAGAAGTACAGCCAAAGCCGCACAGTTCTACTTCCCTCCCTGCCAAATTCCTTTTCTTTTTGGTGGTACTGAGGACTCACTGCAGGTCTTTATACTTGCTAAATAAACATTGTACACTTGAACCGTTGAGATTGGGTCTCACTAACTTTGTTTGGGCTAGCCTCAAACTTTTTTTTTCGTCATGGGGCTTGAACTCTGAGCCTGGGCACTGTCCTTCAGCTCTTCAGCTCAAGGCTAGCACTCTGTTGTTTGAGCCACAGCGCCACTTCCACTAACCTCAAACGGCATCTTTCTGCTGCTCCCTCCTGAAAAGGTCTGATTACAGGCGTGTGCCACCATGCTCAGCTTTCTTCTGCCAAATATTTTCTTTCCCCAGGGAAAGGATGAAGATGAAGAGTGGTAAAATATATTTTAATAGAATCAGACCCTTGTTTTGTCTTTTTTAATACTTTTTATTGTAAAAATACTGTACAGAGGGGTTACAGCTATATGAGCAAGGTAATGAGTACATATCCTATCAAGCATTGTTACCTCCTCCTTTGTTTTTCCCCTACCATCCCTTCCCACCCCACCTCCAAAACTACACTCCCCCCATCTTCCACACCCTCCACCCCTGGCCTAAATTGTAAAGTTCGTTTTTCAACATAGTGTCTTGTGCATCTCACTGTTATTATGGGTCAACCTGTATCCCTATTTAAGCATTTTGTTTTTTTTCTTCCCCTCTCCAAATTAGAGAAGTGTATATATACAAGTTGCAAGGCACCGGCATCAAATACAGTGAAAACAGGGGTTATACATGGGGGAGGAATGTACAAAGAAACAAAAAAAAATCACACGATATAAATACGTTAGAAACAATAACCGGAAAGAAAAAAAACCACTTGTGTCCCTATCTTTGGGTTCATTTTGCTTAACATCATCTTATCTGGTCATATGTACATAGCTTTTGATCTTTTCTGCTTACTCCAGACATATGCTAGTTATTTTCTTTGGTTGCTTGTGGATCTTGAACTCAGGGCCTGGGTGTTGTCCCTGAGCATTTCAAGGCTGGTGCTCTACCAATTTCAGCGAAAGTTCCACTTCCAGTTTTCTGGTGGTTAATTGGAGAGAAGAATCTCAGGGATTTTCCTGCCTGGGCTGGCTTTGAATCAAGATCCTCAGATCTTAGCCTCATAAGCAGCTAGGAATACAGGTGTGAGCCATCAGGGCCCGGCAGACCCTTGCTTTTGAGCACGTGTTAATTGTCAATGCAGAGCCAGCACATGAGTTCTACTTACACACCTGCTTTAGGAAGAATCAATCTATGAAAGCCAGGAAAGGGAGAGGTCTGAAGTGAGGAAGTGGATCATTTTCAGCGAAGCTGCAGCAAAGACTGTGCCTCTGGTAAGTGAAACACACACCTCTGGGCATAATGTGGATATCCAGTGATTGATGCTCTGTGGATGAGTCACTGTGGGAGAAGGGTAACTACTATTGGGTGTGGTGTAGCTGAGCTTTAAGTGATAGGGGAGATAAAAACTATAAGAAAAATGGAATGAATGGCTCCTCTTAAGCTAATTGCTACTCTAGAAAACTAAAGAATGAAAAGCCTCAGGCTATTGAACACCTACTATGTGAAAGCCCACAGACTTTCCTGGAAGCTACAGACATCTTACCTGCATGAACAAGATGAGACCCAGACCTTCAAGGCCTGGTAGAACTTCAGGTAAGATAAAATTCTTACCAAGTGCAGTCAGGTAATGCCAGGATCAGGGCCTAGTTGGAAACAACACTTGGAAAGAGAACATTTGAGTGATGTCTCTGAAAAAATTGAGCCCCAGGCAGGCCTGTAGCAGGAAAATGCAGCAGCAGGCTCTTTCCCTTGCTTGAATATAATGTCTTCTTCAAGATTTGTCTTTACCTCTTGTTACTAGTGTTTAATAAGGACTAAGTCATAGCATAGCCCAACTAAGGATGTAAAATTTCCACAGAGTCACTGGATATTATACTTTAAAGTAGCTGCATATTCTACCATTGTGTATTGTGTCCTGGAAAAGAACACATGAGTTCTGATTCTGAGGCTAAAGAACATTGTTCATTTCTTTGAGGATGTTGTTTTGATGGAGGATTTAATGACTGGGTAAGGACTTCAGGTGATGGTGCATTGCCACTATAGGTTGACTCATAACGGGCATGAAAAAGAGGGCATGCTAAAAGTGAAGATATTCTGTGAGGCCAGACAATTATGAGTAAAATACATTTACCAAGGCCATGATCAGTGCCGGTTTGCAGCCCCAGCATTGCTCATATGTGCAGTGGAAGCTTTCTTCTGTCATTCAGGATTGACAGCAGGAGAGGCTCTTAGTCCTGAGCTTACTCATAGCACTGGGGATAATGGGATGATGCATCAACAAAGGCCACCTGTTATGGAACCACCAAAATGCAGGTAGATACAATTTTGTAAGAAATGACAACCTGAGTAACAGACAAAGGGGCTGACTCACAAAAGTGGAGATAGTTAACCACGAAAAGTGTTACTAGAGGAAAGTAGGGAAGACTAGAAGACTGAGGACCTGCTCAAATCAATGCAGTGCCTGATTTAAAGTTAAACCTGAGGTAAATTTAATGAGAAAAATTTCAACCCATAGCAAATGCACATAATAACTTTCCCAGGAGTCCTTTACTTGGTAACTAATAGGTAACCTTCCTCGTTTGCAGAATTGAGGGACTTCTTTGAATACAGAGTTGTGTTTTAAAGTTGCAAGATGCACTATATTGGTAAACTACTATGTTGAATGACAACTCCTTTGAATAACTACTTAAAGATGATAAAAATATTTTTAAAAACCACAGTGAGAACCCAATCATGTTATTTTCAAGATGAACATTTTGAAGTAAAGATTTTCTTTAAAAAAAATAGAGCAAAAGGTTAAAACAACAATAACAAGGTCCTTTCACAGTGCTTGTAACAAGAAGTTTGGCACTATTTACAAAATACAATTTTTTTGAAAGTGAAACTGGTAAAACTATTAAAAATGTGGCATTGTTTGTATAATTACATTTTATTTTCATTTAATATATGAACACTTTGAGGAAATAAATTTAAAAGAAAGCTACCATTTTAATTTCCTGTAGGTGTATAATGATTAAGGCAAAAAAAATACAGAATCTGTGCAAGTACTTGGAAATAAGCCCAACATGCTGTTATCTGTAACTTTAAAAGTTTTATTCACTGTAAAATATAAAAGCTTTGATCTAGAATCCATAACATCCTGAGCAGATTCATTATTGACATGTAACACTTTGTCTTAATTTTCTTTCAAGAAAAGAAGTTCTTCATAGACAAGTAGGCAAAATGACAACCCAAGATTTCATATACATTTGTCAAAACTGTATATATATTTTATGTTTTATAAAGTATTTTTATATATAATCAAAAATTTCTGATGGTTATAAAATATGTTTTTCCCCACAATTGAACTCCTTCCATTATTAAAGATGCTACAGTACTATTTGTTTGTAAGGAGGGAGTCACAGGTCATCTTGGTGGAGGAATACATTTTTGTCTAAGTTTTTCCATGTCATTACTATGTCTTTTAGGCAAGTTAAGTTTAGTTGTAGTCCCATTGAGAGTAAGATGTAGATCCTCTGGAAGTAACATATTTGATCTCCTGTTTTCTTCTCTTGTTTTGATACCATGAATCCTGTTTGGCTTATGATTAATGCATTTACAGTCTTTGCCTACCTTTTGACTTTGACTGGTAATACATGTTTTGCTGTTAGCTGGGATTTTTATTCCATTGAGACATATGACATTCTCTTGAGTAAGGGATGGAAGAAATGTTTGATATGCTGTCTTCCCAAATGACCCAGTGGGTAAATCTTGAAAGTAGCTGGGGAAATGTTGGTTAACTTTATGTTCATGGATTAATTTTCTTGAATTTGTGTCATCTAATTTCACAGAGCATAGATCATCAATTGTTATGTTCTGATAGATATCTGATGGATTCTGAGGTGTGTTCAATTTTGGGGAATCACACTGAGGTATGCTAGGTAAAATTTCATATTTGCTTTGTTTTAAGACCAGTCTAGTGCCAGGAATAAAAAGCTTTAGTGATTCTTGCTTTGGCAGATGAATGATATCTAAGTTTGAAGAGTATGGATGTGCTTGACCAATCACAGCATTGCCTTTCCAGATTAAAGGGTTATATATAACTTGTCCATCAATAGGGCATGAATTGCACTTGTAGAGTAGCCACTTGTCGATGCATTTCCTATGAAACTTGAAACACAAGGTTATAAGTTATGTAGAGCTATAATTGTTATCTTTATAATTGATATTATTTAAGTTTTTCTAGTTTTGTAAGTATGTTAAAAGTATATAACAAAGTTGAAATGCAATTTTAACCAAGTTTTAAGAAAAAATAATGGTTATATGGAATCATCTCCATTTTCAACATTGAAATGCAAAACCTCTTATGGATATCTGTATTACTATAAATTTTGTTTAAAGCAATATTTATTCAAAATATTAATTTCATGCTTCTAAGAAATGAAAATTATTGCTGGTGCTTATGGCTCATCCCTGTATCCTAGTTACTCAGGAGGCTTGGAGCTAAGGTTTGCAGTTTGAAGCCAATCCAGGCATTACAGTCCATGAGATTCTCATCTCCAATTAACCACCTATAAAGGGGACATAAGCTGTGTGGTAGAGTACTAGCTTTGGGCAAAAAGCACAGGGACAGTGTGTAGGCACAAGCCCCGAATTCAAGCCCCACAACCTACAACAATAACAAAAAAAGAAAAGAAAAAAAAAGAAAAATGAAACCCATAATAACTTAGAAAGGAAAATTAGTCTGATGTTGAAGGGTTAAAGTTTTGAGGCAGTGACCACTTGTTTCTTGTTTCTAGCAGAGCAACACATGGTGGTAATCCAAACACCTGGTTGGTTGTGTGCCTTTATAAACCCTGCAAATCTTTAGCTCCGGGCTCTCCTCCTAGGCTCCGCTGTGTCAGAGTGTAGGACAAGGCCTGAGCTGCAGCCCGTTTAAATAAAACCTTAAAACAACTGTAAAGTCTGACTCTTGGTGGGTATAACATATTAGTGGGGGCTTGTCCGGGATCCCCCCAAAGCGCGCCCCCCCCAAGAACTCAGACTCCAAAGGTAAACCAACACTGTCTTTGTTAATTTGTCTTGTCCTGTCGTTTGTTTTACTTTCGTTTTCCTTTGTGAGGATGGCTGCTCAGATTCGTAAAGGGTTGTGGAAGCAGGCGTGCTTGCACAACAACCCTGGAGGAACTGGGTTCCTTGGAACCCCACCGTGTGAGTCAGGGTCCTTGGAACCACGCTGTGTGAATTGTGGGGTGGGGGTCGGTTTGGTGTTGGGCCGGAACTGACCAAGAAGGCCTCCTAATGGAGGCCCAACTTGCCCACTGTGGGTCTGCTCCTTCTGCTGTGGGGCGTGGGTGTGGAACCCCTCCTTGACAGGAGTCAGCGGACCAATTCGGGAGATCTCCACTTCGTAAGCTTTTTTTTTGTAACTGTCAGGACTGCATGTGTTTTGTTTGTACTGTTTATTGTTTTTTGGACTGTATGACTGATGGCACTGGAAACCATGGGCACCACTCCATCTAGCCCCCTAGACTTACAAAAAGAAACTGAGAAAGAGGAAAAGAAAAGATACCCTCCCGGTTTTTCAGGGAGATAACTTGGAAGAAGAAATGTTTCCTCCCCCATATTCCCCTTCCCAGGTTCCTTTTGCAGAGCCTGAGAATGATCAAGAGGAGGAGGGAGCTATAGAACCAGCAGCCGAACCCTCGGCACCTGTCCCTAAAGTTTCTGAGGGGCCAGTCACTCGAGGACGCCATGGGATCAACCCACTTTCTAATTCAGCTGTTTTTCTCTTACACACCGTAGGTCCTGTGCATGCAGATGATCAACAGCAACTCTAATATTGGCCATTTTCTACCAGTGATCTATACAATTGGTGCACCCAAAATGCCCCCTTTTCTGAGAAACCCCAGGATTTAATTCGTTTGCTTGAAACTATTCTCTTTACTCATCAGCCCATTTGGGATGATTGCAGTCAGCTTTACAGGTCCTATTTACCACCAATGAGAGAGATCGTATCTGAGAAGCGGCCCAGAAACATATCCCTGGCCCTACAGGAGTGCCCATCACAGATCCTGCCCTGATCGCTGCCTATTTTCCTGAGATCCGACCAAAATGGGACTACAATATGGTTGAAGGTAGGGAGCGACTCCTCGTCTATCGCCAGGATCTGTTGGTAGATCTCAAGGTGGCGGCTTGCTGACCTACTAATATGGCCAAGGTTTATGATGTTAGACAGGGAGGAAGTGAAAGTCCGGCAGCATATCTTGAGTGGCTCATGGAAGCTTTTAGTCAATATACCCCGTATGATCTTGAGACCCAGGAGTCGGCTCAGATGATTATGTTTGCCTATATAAATCAAGCTGCACCAGACATAAAGTGAAAGTTGCAGGCTCTAGACAGACTTGGTGAAAAGTCTATTAGGGATCTAGTAGCCGCAGCGGAAAAGGTTTACAAATAAGAGAGACAGAGGAGCAAAGACAGGAAAGGAAGGACGGAGAATGTGAAAATGAGCGTGAAAAGAGAGACTGGGCCAAGGAAAAGAGGCCAGACTTGTTGGACTCTTCACTATCGCATGCCGAGCATACCTGGTTCACAGACAGCAGCAGTTTCATTTAAGATGGAAAATGGTACGTGGGTGCAGCAGTCACCATGGACACTGAGATAGTGTGGGCAGAAGCACTCCCCCAGGAAATGTCTGCACAAAGAGCAGGACTAGTGGCACTAACGCCCTACAAATGGGAAAAGGGAAGAGACTAAATATTTACACGGACAGTCAGTATGCTTTTGCCACTGTGCATGTCCATGGAGCCATTTACCAAGAGAGGGGGCTGCTGACAGCTGAGGGAAAGGCTATTAAAAACAAACAAGAAATTTTGAGCCTCATCCGGGCCATATGGGAACCAGTAAATATTGCCATTATGCACTGCCCTGGCCATAGAACTGATTCTATAACCAAAGGAAATAACTTGGCCAATGAGGCACCTAAGGAGGCAGCCCTCCAGCCCAGAGCAGAAGTACTGACTCTAGTACTGACTCACGAGCTTTGCTTCCTGAGCCTCAGTACTCCCAAGAAGACTTGGAGTGGATAAAGAAAATTCCCATGGCCTATAAACCCCTGGACAGAGAAGGAAACAAAGACTGTGGTGAGGGGAAACTTACCTTGCCACAAAGATTGAGCAAGGGGATTCTTAAGAGAATCCATTGGGTCTCTCACATGGGAACCCGAAGAATGCAGGACTTGCTCCGACACTCAGAAGTAAAAATTAGGCAAGGAAATCAACTCATTGAGGACATTGTTAAAAATTGTAAAGCCTGTCAGCTCACCAATGCCTCCAATCAACCGGTTACAAAAGGAGCTCGCCTCCATGGAGATAGGCCAGGTGTGTATCGGGAAGTAGACTTCACAGAAATTAAAACTGGAAAATTTGGATGTAAATATTTGCTAGTTTTTGTAGACACCTTTTCAGGATGGGCCAAAGCCTACCCAATAAAGCATGAGTCCACGAACGTCGTGGCTAAGAAGATCCTGGAAGAAATCCTACCCAGGTATGGCTTCCCATCCACCACTGGGTTGGACAATGGACCAGCCTTCATCTCAAAAGTAAGTCAGGGAATAGCCACAGCACTGGGGACGGATTGGAAATTGTACTGTGCTTATAGACCCCAGAGTTCAGGGCAGGTAGAAAGAATGAATCGGACTCTAAAAGAGACCTTAACTAAATTGGCCTTGGAGACTGGCACAGACTGGGTATCGCTCCTTCCTTTTGCCCTGTTTGGAGTAAGAAATTCACCCTATCAGCTTGGACACCCTCCACCCATTATCCCTATCCTTCAGACTCAATTGCTTGCTGATTTGGATGATACTGAATTTCTGTGTAAGCTTGACTATTTACATCTGGTGCATAAGAGGATGTGGCCCTAGCTTAGAGCATTATATGATTCTGCTTCTATTCCTACCCCCCCCCCATTTGTTTAAACCAGGGGACTGGGTGTTTGAAGGAACAACTTGGGATCTCTGGAACCATGGTGGAAGGGACCTTACATGGTACTACTGGCTACACCCACTGCCCTTAAGGTGGATGGCATTGCTTCTTGGATTCACTGCTCCCACACCAGACCAGCTGACTCCTTTGCCATGGACGACCGTGGAGAAACATGGGAAGTCTCCAAGCATCCTACCCAACCACTACGCATATGCCTCAAGAAAAGAAAAATGAACTGATTATTATTGTTTAACAATATGGCTAAGGTCAGAGAGGGACTATACCCGTTCAAGATCAAGAGCTGTTGGAGTTTAGTTTTAGGCCAGAGCCACAAGATTTTGTCCCAGGACCATAAGTTAAGAGGGGGAATGAAGGGTTAAAGTTTTGAGGCAGTGACCACTTGTTGCTTGTTTCTAGCAGAGCAACACGTAGTGGTAATCCAAACACCTGGTTGGTTGTGTGCCTTTATAAACCTTGCAAATCATTAGCTCAAGGCTCTTCTCCTAGGCTTCGCTGTGTCAGCGTGTAGGACAAGGCCCTAGCTGCAGCCCATTTAAATAAAACCTTAAAACAGCTGTAAAGTCTGACTCTCGGTGGTCTTCTTGGTGGGGGTCCTGTGACCTGGGTATAACAATGTGAAATAATTCACACTTTTGGTAATAAAAGGAACTATCAGCCATCTTAAGGATGAGTCTACAAATGTTTACTAAAATAATTTTATTTCAAGAAATACTTGGCTATCGAGTAATTGTGTGTGTGTGTGTGTGTGTGTGTGTGTGTGTGTGTGTGTGTGTATTTATAGTAATATTAGGTCAGGGCCTGGGCAATGTCCCTTAGCTTTTTTCCCCTCAAGACTGGCTCTCTAATACTTGAGCCACAGCTTCATTTTCAGCTTTTTGGAGATTAAGAGTTTCGTGGACTTTCCTATGCAAGCTGACTTCAAACTGTGATCCTCAGATCTCATCCTCCTGACTAGGATTATAAGCATATGAGCCACTGGTACCTGACCAAAAAATACTATATTTTGAGTCCAGTAAGTTCATATGAAACAATTAACTGTCAATTTAGGCATTTCTGTTGCATCTAAGGAGCTGTAAGAATAACTAGATAAATGTTAGTGTTCCACAGGATTTTTCTTTTCTAAATATCAGCAAAATAGATAGAATAGCCAAACTCAGCCATTTATCTTCCTTAGGTACTATGACAGAAATGAGTTTTTGTTTTCATCTGCAGGCATTTTATTTGAATTATAAGACTGAATTATAAGGCTGGTACTTTTATAAAGAGTTTTGCTTAAAGGTGCTTTGTTTCATAAGGTCAGAAGCTATATAATAATGCACTTCTTGTCCCTTCTTTATAATAATATACTTCTTATTTCTCTTATTACAATAATATACTTCTTATGTCCCATTTTCTATCTTCCTCTCAAGGGAGGAACCAATGCAACAGTGATATTCACAAGACAATATGTTCGAAATAATCTGTACAACTCAAAGGGGAGTTGGGGGAGGAGAGGGAAAGTGGGAGAAAAATGAAGGAAGAGGTAACAAGTTTGACAAGAAATGTGCTTATTACTTTACTCATATAACTATAACTCCCTAGTGCATACACTTGACAATAAAAATAAAGTGTAGCTAATAACTTCAATTTTTAACATGAGACAATTTATACTCTACTGTCAAAATAATGTTTTCAATGAGGCTATGGCAGAAAAGTCTAAACTCTATTTAACAACACATTAACTAGAAACCAATAAGAAATGTTTTCTACCTTTCAAGACTTTGAAATCTAATTATGTGTAACTCAATTATAAATTTTAATAAATCAACCAATTTTAACTGCTGTCTGTATTCAGGAATAGGAGATCATTCTATCATTTTACACACTGCAAATCCCATTGGGATTAGTAGTAACTATGATACTGAATCAATTTTATCTTTGTCATTGTTGAATTTCTCATAGATCCATAATGCCAGACACTCAGACTTTCATTACCTGAATTTGAAGCATGTTTAACTTATAGTATAATTTTGGGGAATAAAATATATTGGGCAGATTTTCCCTTTTATGCAATTACTTTTGTTTTATTCTTATAAACCTGGTAAGATAGGATGAGTGAGTAGATAAGAAAGGTTACTTGGCATATTGTGCATTCACAAAGAATGTTAATAATCAAACACTACTTCTATAAGACAAACTCTCATTCAGAAAATTTACAGTTTGTCACACATTTTCCTATTGATTCTATACCATTCCTTTCCATAGGCAGGAATAATTTTGCAACATGACTTTACTATTCTAATTCATTAGCCTGGCAGAAATATTTCAAATTAAATAAATTTTCAATCTGTATGTTCCACTCAATTGAAAACTGTTTAGGACATTTTAGAAGCTATGAATGGAAACAAGGTGACATCTTTACAAAATAGTTTCAAAAAATCACAGTAACATTTGACAGCATTAATGTTTATGTTATTGATCTGGCATTTAGCAGCTCAATTTTGAAGCCATTTGTATGTATTCTATGATCCAATATTGACACTTGTTTGTTTTTGTAGCTCTGAACATTTCTATGAGAAATGAATCTTAATAAATCAGACCATATTGAATATACTCTGGGACAGCTTTCTAAACTTCTCTATACAGGTGCAGGCAAAAATATGTAAGAAGAAACAAAAAGTCACTACACCTTGGCTTGACAGTGCAAGTTGAGTGAAGCTGGTGTGACTTTTACCTTATGAGTACATGGTAGTAGCCTTGTTTGTTGTCCAAGAAGAAATGATTTTAGACAAAGTCGACATTGGTACCCCGGTGCAAGCAGTTTACTTTTTTTTGTAACTAACTGGAGAGGCAGTGACTTCACAACATCTTTAGGTGTGTAAACCTGGCTGAACAGAAGCAAGCAGAAATGTGACTGTTGATATGGGATTACAGATGTGGAGGTAGCATCAGCTCTATTATATATATCATGCACTGAACACAAAACTTCTTTGAACCAAAGATAGTCTCATATATTATCAAATTTAAAAAGTGTATCAATTCTCAAAATGATAAACTTCATAAAGGGCAAAGATTGACTTCACAACATAATGAGAATTTTTAAATTTGTACTTGAATGTCAATAAAATAAGATCCTGATACAAAAAACATTTTCCTTCCTTCTTCTAATTTTAATTTTCTTTGGGTTGGTCATGGGGCTTGAACTCTGGGCTTGGGTGCTATCCCTGCGCTCTTCAGCTCAAGGTGAGCGCTCTACTGCTTGAGCCACAGCGCCACTTCCGGTTTTCTAGTGGTTTATTGGAGATAAGGATCTCACGGACTTTCCTGCCAGGGCTGGCTTTGAACCATGATCCTCAGATCTCAGTCTCCTGAGTAGCTAGGATTATTGGCGTGAACCAACGGCGCCTGGCTCTTTCTTCCATTCTCTGTCTCTCTCTGTCTGTCTCTCTCTGTCTCTGTCTCTCTCTTCTTTCCTCCCTTCCTCTCTTCCTCCCTCCCTCCCTTTTTCTTTCTTTCTTTTTCTTTTCTTTCTTTTCTTTCTCTCTCTCACTCTCTCCTGCTCTCTTCTCGCTCTCTCTCTTTCTTTCTATCCTGGAGCTTGAAAGTGCTTGGACATTGTTCCTGAGCTTTTTAAACTCCACTTTTTGCTTTTTGGGTGCTTGATCAGGGATAAGAATCTCATGGACTTTTCTGCTTGGGCTGGCTTTGAAAACCTCAGATCTCAACCTCTCAAATAGCTAGAATTATAGTCATGAGCATTGGTGCTTGGCCTCAAAATGATGAGTACATACTGAAGTTACTTTACTCTGAGGCAATATTTAGACATGTGATTAGGAAAATACAATCCAACTTGCTGTGTTAACTCATAGAAAGTGAGGGGCACAGTATGCCACTGTGGTAAATTGGTAGATCATAATCTGTGATGAAATTAATTTTCCTGTGGGGTGTTCCCTTAGGACAATAGTATTAGATGATATTCACATAAATCTGAGAAGACTGAATGACAATAAAGGTGAATAAACTGTGAATTAGCTGATATTTGCTGCCATTAAAACTGGTAAAATAGGTATTAAAAATAAATGTTTGGCTAATGTCAGAATTATTTATTTGAATTATAGTATTCATAAGTTATTCAGAATAAAGATTCACAAATATTGTCTATGAAAGTTCACATTTTTATTTCAATTATATCTCCACAATACTACAAAACTGCTTCCACCAATGCCATCTAATTTTAACAGTCAATTTCAGCATTCAATACTAAAAATAGTATCATACTGTTATCCATAATATTTATTGTTTACTTTTTATTCCGAAAGATTCCATTTTTTACTCCATTTTGTCTGCCTAGACAAAATATTTTCTCTCCCAAACTTCCAACCCTATGTCTTCTAACCCGATCCTTAGTTACCCAATTTATCCTAGTAGGTGGAAATGTGATGCCCAGCTAGAAGAAGGAGACTGAGGCTTGTTTTATGTACATAAGAGCGCTCTTTTCCTAAGAGTGTAGTATATGCAGGGGGCATGGGCTGTGTGTTTACTGGGACTTGAGGAGAAATGTAACATGTGTGAGCGTTTTTAGGTATGTATGATGTGTGGGTGTATTACATGTACATTTATACATTTGGTGAGAATAAGCATAGTTTTTGGTTAATTGAATGTGTTAAAATATTTTGATTTTATTTAATTTTATTAAATTTCTTTTATATGTGTTTTACAACATATGTATTTTATTTTATTTAGTTTTTGCCAGTCCTGGGGCTTGAACTCAGGGCCTGGGTACTGACCCTGAGTCTCTGTGCTCAAGGCTAGCATTTTACCACTTGAGCCACAGTGCCGCTTCCAGCTTTTTCTGGGTAGTTTACTGGAGATAAGAGTCTCAAGGACTCTGCCTGGGCTAGCTTTGAACTGTGATCCTCAGATCTCAGCCTCCTAAGCAGATAGGATTAGAGGCATGAGCCACCATCACCCAGCTGCAACATATAATTTAATAATATACAACATGTAACTTTTATATTTTTTATTGTGAAGATACTGTACAGAGCTGTTACAGTTACATGAGTAAGGTAATGAGTACATTTCCTATTGAGCATTGTTACCCCCTCCTTTGTTTTAACCTACCATCCGTTTCCTCCCCACCTCCCCAACTCCTCCCTCCCCCATACCCCAAAGTTGTAAAGTTTATTTTTAACATAATGTCTTGTACATCTCATTGTTACAATGGGTCAACCTGTATCCTTGTTTCAACATTTTCTTATTTCCCTTGCCCTCTCCAAATTAGAAAAATGTGTATACAAGATACAGGGCACTGGAATCAAATACAGTGAAAAAAGGGGTTATACCATGGGGGAAGAACATACAAAAGAAGCAAAAAAAAATCACATAGTATATTAAAAACAACAGTGACAAAGATTAAAATCTCTTGTGTCCCTATCTTGGGGTTCATTTTGATTAGCATCATCTTATATGGGCATATGTACATAGCTTTTGACCTTCTCTGCTTGTCCTAGACATATACTAGTTATTGCAAATAAGGGAAACCATGGGACCTAGGATTTTTTGGTCTGTGTGTATAAATAAATAAATATATAAATATATAAAACATTTTCTTGATTCATTGATCTACTGAGGGGCATCTGGGTTGGTTCCATATCTTAGTTATGGTAAATAATGCTGAGATAAACATAATTGTGTTGGAAACTTTAGTATGGTCTTGTCTGTGATAATTTGGGTAAATGCCCCAAAGTGGGGGAGCTCTATGTGTAGTCTTTTGAGGAACCTCCATACTGCTTTCCAGAATGGTTGAACAAGTTTACATTCCCACCATCAATACAGTAGGGATCCCTTCTGTCCACATCCCCTCCAGCATCTGTTGTTATTAGAGTTCTAACTGAGGTAAGCTGGTATCTCAATGTTGTTTTGATTTGCATTTCTTTTATGGCTAGAGAAGTTGATCATTTCTTCATGTGTCTCTTGGCCATTCTTATTTCCTCTTCAGAGAAGTTTCTCTTTAAGTCTTTAGCCCACTTCCTAATTGGATGGTTGTTTCTTTGAGGCTGTGTTGTTGAGGGACTTAATTTTTTGATATTTAATTTTTTGAATTTTAGATATGAGACCTTTGTCTGTTGTATGGCTAATGAAGGAAGATCTTCTCCCAATCTGTGGGCTTTCTATTGATCTTACTAGCTATGTCCTTTGCCATGAAGAATCTCTGCAGTTTCATGCAATCCCATTTGTCCAACCTTTCTTTGATTTGTTATGTTTCTGTGTCTTTATTAAGAAAATTTCTGCCTGGCCAAGGAGCCCTAGATTTTCTCCTATTCCTTCCTGTAATGTTTTCAGGTTGTCTGCTTTGACTCTGAAGTCTTTAATCAATTTATAGTTGATTCTGGTGCAGGGTGATATATAAGGATCTAGCTTTAGTTTTCTACAGGTGTTTAACCAATTTTGCCAGCATCATTTACTGAAGAGGCTGTCTTTCTTTAATTCTATTGCTTTTTTTTGGGGGGGGGGTCCGGTCGTAGGGCCTGAAATCTGGGCGAGGGCACTGTCCCTCAGCTCTTCAGCTCAAAGCTAGCGCTCTACCACTTGAGCCACCGCGCCACTTCCAGCTTTTTTCTTTTTTCTTATGTGGTGCTGAGGAATCGAACCCAGGGCCTTGGGCATGCAAGGCAAGTGCTCTACCACTGAGCCACCTTCCCAGCCCTAATTCTATTTCTTTAGCTCCCTTATCAAAGATTAGATAGCCATAAGTCTAGGGGTTCATTTACTGGTCTTCAGTTCTATTCCATTGGCCCTCAGGTCTGTTCTGTGCCAGTACCAAGCTGTTTTGATTACTATAGCTTTGTAGTAGAGTTTGAAATTTTGATTTTGATATTCTTCTAGCACTATTCTTTCTGTTAAGGATTGCTTTTGCTATTTGGGGTCTTTATTTTTCCATGTGAATTTTTGGATTGCTTCTTCTATTTCATTGAAGAATGAGGTTAGGATATTGATAAGTATCACATTAAATTTGTAGATAGCCTTTGGCAGTATTTACTTTTCTTTAGTGCTTTCCTTATTCATTTGATAAAAATCTGGAGGACTATGCACACTATACAGCCAGGTGGTGTTCTAAAGGATGGACTCTTCCTTGCACTACCCTGTACAGCAATCCAAAGACAGAAGAGAAGGTGGAGAGGAAGCCACCTCCTTCTCTCAGCGAAATGTTACAAAGGCAACTTCCTCTCTATCTTTTCAAAATTGACACTAGTTTTGATTTTATACTTATTAGATGATTAATTGATTACTGATTATTATTTGATTACTAATTATTAAGTCATTATTTGATGACATTCCTACACTTAGTAAATCTGATGGGGCTAATGCTGAACAATAGATGTTAGTTGAATATTTAATGTGTATAACATTAAACTTCACAGTAAAAAAAAAAAAGCTCGTATGAGGTTGGCTTTGTACAATCCATATTATAAGATGAGGAAATTTTGCAGAAGGAACTGAAATAATCAGCCAAAAAGCCACAAAAAGACCATGTGGTTGGGCTTGGGTTGGATTCAGGCAGACAGAGCTAGTCTTGCTCTTCACTTGTGTGCTATGATGTTACCTATTGCATAACAATTGCTCAATAAATATGAGAGTACATATCACTGGTATAAGATCCCAAATCCTATGAAGAAATAAACTCTTTATGAAAACCTCACCTTTTCTTTTCTTGAAATTGTGGCACTGTTTCTTCTACCTCATTTTTACCATCTAGACATTTTACATCATCCTGTGATGTTTTTTCTAGTAATTTCCATCCTTGGTTTCTCTTCTGAAATAAGCGAAAAGTAGATGTTTGTTTGCAAATTATGGAAAGTTGTATTTTTTATTTTTCTTTTTTTTTTTCCAGTCATGGGGCCTGAACTCTGGGACTGGGCGCTGTCCCTCAGCTCTTCCTCTACCACTGGAGCCACAATGCCACTTCCGGCTTTTACTGCTTATGTGGTGTTGAGGAATCGAACCCAAGGCCTCATGCATGCGAGGCAAGCACTCTACCACTGAGCCACCTTCCCAGTCTGAAAGTTGCATTTTATAGATTAAAATTGGTAGACTATATCAGTAGCAATAATAGGGGGAATATCTATTAACTTAAACATTATCTATTTTAACACCATTATAAATTATATCTGTGGGGCTCATGCAGTGATGCATAATTCTTACAATGGCATTACTTTTACGTTTTTTAAATTGTGGGTAGAACAGAGGGGTGATGGTACATGTTTTAACAATCAGCTACAATCCATCCCTTTCAGTTTTTAAATTTTGAGTTAATCTCAATTGCATAGGGTAGCCTCAAACTTGAGACCTTCCTGCTTCCGCCTGCCGTGCAGCCCGGCTTGCCACCACACTTAGTACTTTGTAAGGCAAAGACATTACTGGTAAATGTGGATGTGGTATCTTGTAACAAGAAAAAGATGACAGCATTGCTCAGAATCACAAAACTTTTTAAAAAATTGGTCATGGGGCCTGGGTTGTTGTCTCTGAGCTCTTCAACTCAAGGTGAAAGCTGTACCACTTAAGCCATAACATCACTTCTGGTTTTTTGGTGGTTAATAGGAGATAAGAGTGTCACAGACTTTTCTGCCTGGGTTGGCTTTGAACTAGGATCCTCAGATTTCAGCCTCCTGAGTAGCTAGGATTACAAGCATGAGCCAACTACCAAAACTTTTAAGGTGTGTAGTTGAAATGATCTCCCTGATTTATTGTTGTTAGTATAAAAAATTTTAAGAGAGAACCATAAAGGGTAGTCAGCAATATTACTAAAAGCCAGCCTTTAAGTTTACGATCTTTTAAAGCAATCTCCAAGTGTGAGGACTATAGTTTCTATTCGTAGTATTTATTTATAATATCATCAGATGCATGCTATTGTGTTGCATTTTATGAATCACCAGTGTAAGAGCTGGTAGCCTTGTGTATCCCTCTCAAAGAGTTCTAAGAACATGCACTTAGATTTTATCAAGAAGCTAGCTGGGTGTGCTGCTGGCTCACCCCTGTAATCCTAGTTATTCAGAAGACTGAGATCTGAGGGTTTCCGTTCAAAGGTAGCCAACTAGAAAGTCTATGAGAGTCTTATTTCCAAATGATCACGCGCACGCGCGCGCGCGCGCGCACACACACACACACACACACACACACACAAGACAAGCAAAGGTTTGGCTCAAGTGATAGAGCATTAGCCCTCAAGTTGAAAAGTTCAGGGATAAGTACCTAGGCCCTGAGTTCAAGGCCATGACCAGCAAAAATAATAAATAAATAAAAAATAAATAAATAAGGTAAAAAATATCAAGAGGTTGAATTCTAGAGTGTTATTGACTCTTCATCTTCATAGATTTACTTAGTATTGCAACAAGACCAATACCGAGACTGTATTAGGTTCAAAATGGATAGCTTACCTCGCGAAATGTGAATGTGTGAGAAAGATGAGAGCAGTCGTCAAAGCACTCCTGGCACAGGTGATATTCTACACATTCACTACACCTGAAAGTTCAACAAATCAAGACATTTAAGGAAACAATGTCCAATTATTGCCATTTTTTGGTGAAAACTTTTGAGGCCAGCTTCTGAGAACAATACAAATATTGATATTTGCCCATGACAAATGACACTGTGCATTACTTTCCCCATACTGCTGTAAAATGGACCATAAGTCCATCAGTTTAACCGACACAAACATAGTATTTTACAGTTCTGTAGAAGTCTGCCCAAGCTACATTGCATATCACAGGCGTTAGGAGAGAAGAGTATGATAGAAAACAGAAGATGATAGGATAACAGAATATTCGTTTTCTTCCAACTGAAGTTGCCAACAAGCCCGAGCCCCAGCCAGAGCCAGAAAGCTTTGACGCAGATGTGATTTCCTTTGTTTGAACCACTGGCTTGATTTCTTGGAAGAAGGGAGTGTGAAAAATTGGAGGTCCCTAGTATACTAAAGGGAAAGCCAAAGGCATAGGTGGTGGTGTTCCACTTTCAGTATGGACCTCTGAGCAGAGCCCCTTTCCCCAGGCAGAAATGGAAATGGGGTGTGGTCAGGCAGAGAGAGAACCTGCATCTTGAACACAGGGATCCAGAGAATGGTACAGTTGACCTTTGTGTTTTCTTTCCAGAACTTTTCCCTCTCCTCTCACTTCCACACACATACTAAATCCCAAATAGGTCCAGTCTCTACTCTTAGGTTTAACTTAGGAATAGAACCCAAGCTCTTCAGTATGGCAGGGTAAGTTCTTGATGATTTGATTTCACGTTTACAGATGTTCTCTCATGCCATGAATCCTACAGCCCCAGTGCCTTCACTTAGGCTAGTCCTACCACTTACAGTGTATTTTTCTCCAATCTTTATGTTTCTTTCTCAGAAACTTGTCCTGATTAGTCTACCTCCTCTTACATGGTGTCCTTATTACCCTCTTCATCTGCTCTCAGAATTACTCCTTCAATGTGTCTTACAGAACCAGGTTGCAAGAAATAGACTGGTTTATCTTGTTAAGTGAGGATATCCTCCTTCCCAGACCTTGGCTGCTTGCTTTGAATACCTTAACTCCATCTGCCATCTTTCTTCCCCTATGACCTGTAGCCTGACATTCAGGCTTTGGACATAAAGTTGTGGGAAAATTTGGGAGACTGTTATTTTGCCTACCACATACCTCTTCCTTATTTCCTTAGTTCTCCGACTAAATTTGCTTTGAATTATGTCTATGTCTTTCTCTAAGTTCCTATAGGATCTACAGCCTATTAGATGTTCTGTTTCTTGATTAGCAAGGGTTACATTCTGGAAAATGGAATTATATTTCCTTTCTCCTCCCAAGGAATGGAAAAAGATAACTACCCAACTAATATCAATAAAAACTACTGATAAATTAAGAAAAAGGTAACTTCATACTATAGTTTATATCATTTATAGATTTTGCCACTAGCCAAAGATTTTAATTTCTTGCTGTAGAATTCATCAAAAACCAAAACCTTGAGCAGCAGTCAAATGAGGTCATCTTCTAATTTAAATTATTAAAGAAGGCTATTTTCATGAGAAATAAAGAAAAATCTGCCTGAGACATTTTAGAAGTAAGTGCTAATTTATTCATTGTGACTATTTATAGACACAGGGAAGAGTCTTAACATCAAAGAGTCAAAGCAATGTTGCAATTTATCATTGTATGCTAGGCTAGATGAAGTTAAAAATCTCTATTCACTGGAACATAATGTATACAGTTAAAAAAATCTAACCTAAACTATAAAATAGTGGTATCATAAATCTCTAAAGAGGGAAATCTTAGAGACTTTCTAGTTTATTTTGCTTTCTATTTAACATATTCTTAAAACAAAAATATTTTCTCAGTCTGAAGATTGTCAGGATTTGAGGAAAGTTGGAGTTACAAATTTTGCAAGTAGTCTTTAATTTGAGGAAATGGGATGAGATACAGATGAGTAACTGCCAAACTCCTAGAGGAAAAGTAATGAGAAGGTATTCTCATCAGAGAAGTTAAACAGTGGGTTAGGGATAACATATTGGAAAATGAACAATCCACCAGGACAGGAAAAAATACTCAGATAATAACTTATTTAAAATTTCATAATAAGGGATATTTCATTAAGGATATACCGTTTCTTAGCCCTAGCAATTAATATTTACTCTGGTTAATTGTGGGATAGTTTGGGTGTATTAATAAAAGCAGCAAACCCTTTTTGATCTAGTAATTATCTTGCTGAGTAAAGACTGAAATGAAATGAAACGTATTTATTACAATTTGGAGTAAGAGGAAAGTGATGAAAAATTATGTCATTCTAGTTAATATCACTTTGCATTAATACATGAGTTTTTGGTAAAGACCTCATTGGCTGACCAAAGAAATTTACTCACTGTGATCCTAGAAACTCCAGTAGGCCAAAGCAAGAAAGCCTGTGCTAGACTGTGTAGGATGGTGATATATCATACTCAACTCTTGTAAAAAGAAGATAAAATAAAGTCTCTTATTTGGAAATATTAAATAAGCTGTCATTGCCTAGGCAAATACTGGGTATGAAGGAAGAAGAAAGTAGGACAAAGAATAGTACTCTAATAGTCAAAGTTTTGTAAGGGTAAGAAAAAATTGCATGTAATTTTACTGGGTGCCACTTACTTGTAGCATGTCCCCTCAATTGGAAACTGTTTGCAGTTATTGCATGGAATTCCAAGGTGTTTGCTTAGTGGTTCTTTCTCAGCTGCAGCCACAAGTTTGCTAGAGTTTTGGAATTCCTCCAAAATAACATTTAGTGGAGCAAATTCTTTCCTGCACAGAGGACATTTTAGCATGGCAATTTTGGATGGCACATCTTGGTAGTTAGCTAAGATCTTCATGCATTTTATGTGAACACTATTGCCACAGCCAAATCTATCAAAAAGAAAATGCAAGTTTACCATCTTCACACAGAAAAGTTTTATATATATATATATATATGTGTGTGTGTATATATATATACATATATACACATATATTTTGTATACACTTGTATTTATGTAAATAACATTACTAATATTTTGCTTCTGTATAAAAGTAGACTCAACTGGGTCTGGGAAGGTGGCTCAGTGGTAGAGTGCTTGTCTTGCATGCATGAGGCCCTGGGTTCAATTCCTCAGCATCACATAAGCAAAAAGAAAAAAGCCGGAAGTGGTACTGTGTCTCAAGTGGTAGAGCATTAGCCTTGAGCTGAAGAGCTGAGGGACAGTGCCCAGGCCCAGAGTTCAGGCACCATGATCGGACCCCCCCCCAAAAAAGTAGACTCAACTGATTTTACATATATCACTTGATTATAAACTCTCACACACAGAGAAATCTATCTATGAATCTATGAATTTGGTTTATCAGCATTCCAAACATAAACTTTTTCCTATTCCAATGCCTGTTTTTCTAAAAAGTATATTGCATCTGAAAATGCACAGGAAATGACTGGTAGGAAGAAAGGTGTTTGAGAAATTAGTTAACCTTACAATATACATGGAAGAAACCACATGAAAAAAGCAGCTTGTATGAAAATTGTAATAAGTAATCAGGAGAAAAATAGTGGAAAAGTTCGGTAGCACATTGACTACTCAATTTCAAAGTTAAACTTAAAAATACCCTGAACTTGAATCTCTCAATAAATATTCTTGCATAAGTAAAAATTTCAACTATTCAGGTTTGAAGATATAATTTAAACAAAACCTAAAGATAATTTAAAAATTGTAAAGTAAAATGATCTTCATTTTCAGACAACTATTTGTAACTATTACCTTCAAAATGCAGCCCAGAAGTCTTTAAAGAACAGATATGTGTTTTATGTTAGGAAACATAAAACAGGAAAAAAGTACAAAACAACCATAGCTAAAGCCTCCCCTCCCGCTCCCCGCCCCCAATCAATGTATAAGAAGCTCAAGGATTCCTGTCCAGCTTGCTTTGAACCATCACCTCAGATCTCAGCCTTCTTAGTAACTAGGACTTCAAGTGTGAAATACTGGCTCTTGGCAAGTTTTCATAAGTTTTAGAATCCAAGGACAAAAGTCTCTCACCTGCAGAAGGTAACAGGAAGCTTTTTCTCTAAAAGCACCTCTTGACAAATGGAGCAGATATCCTCGGAGCCAATGTCCCTCTGAGCCAGGGACCCATCTTCCTCTTCTTCTGTCACGGCACTTCTCTGTAGGGGAGTAGGGACTTGATGTATCCCTCGCAGCAAGTCATTTATTTCTCCTTCCAGAAGACCCAGCTGGAAAGCAACTAGTGAAAAACAACAGCAACAAAGCCCCTCAAAGTATTAAAATTCAGTGGAAGAATTAGAAGTATAGACATGTAATAAGATGGAATTAAGTCAAAAGAATTTTCCTTCATGTATCAGGAAAAGTATTTGTTGGATTGTCCTTCTGACATTGATCCATGTCTTTGTGTTCCTTTCAGAGCTAAAAGGTCAGAAAGGAGTCACTTATAAAAAGAGAAAAAAAAAGAATGGAAGTTACCTTTTATGTGCTGAAGAAAGTCAGTGCACACAGTGCATTTATGGGTAGATATCAAAATCATGTTTGGGGTTGGAGATTGAACTCAGTGGAAGAGCACTTGCCTAGCAAGTATAAGGCCCTGAGTTTGGTCCTCAGCTCAATATATATATATATATATATATATATACACACACACACACACACACACACACACACACACATATATATATGTATCTATATACGTGTGTATATGTATATATATATATACACACACACACACACATATTAGAAAAGAAGCTGTCAATGGCTCACACCTGTAATCCTAGTTACTCAGGAGAGTGAGAGCTAGCATCAGGGAAGGAAAGTCTGTGAGACTGCAATCAACCACCAAAAAGCTGCAAGTAGGGCTGTAGCTCAAGTGGTAAAGCCCTAGCCTTGAGCAAATAAAGCTAAAGAATAGTGCCCAGACCCAGGCCCCCGGCTCACTAGTACCAGCACACAAAAAAAAAAAAAAGAAAAAGAAAAAAGAAAAAAAAGCAATGGGGACACAAGTACATAAAGAAAAAAATGGTATCTGATTGTTTATATTTGCTAGATATGTACATAAATGAATGAGTAATAGGAGAAGAAAACTGTACCTATTTTCCTCTATATACTTTGTATCTTTGACAAGTGCCCTAGAAGCATGTTATTATGCTTGTTTCTTGTCTTTCTTTCTTCTTTCTTTCTTTCTTTCTTTCTTTCTTTCTTTCTTTCTTTCTTTCTTTCTTTCTTTCTTTCTTTCTTTCTTTCTTTCTTTCTTTCCTTTCTTTCTTTCTTTCTCTCTCTCTCCCTTTTTCTCTCTCTCTCTCTTTCTTTCTTTCTACACATTTTGTCAGTAGTGTTCAGAATAATTTGTTAGGCAGGGTATTGCCGTACTCTTGGGATGTGTAGTCTTTGAATTCTGAATTTCTCCATTCTGATGTCCTTATAAATAATTATGCTCTAAGAGCCCATATTTTAATTAGAATATTCTAAATCCTTATTTCTCTGGCCCATTCATATGCTCCTTCCTGCTTCCCTCCTCTTCTTCCTAACACGGTAATTTAAATAAGTAGTCTAAATAAGTCCTCTAAGTTCAATTCATCTTATATTCTTTAATATGTATATGTGTTTAGTAAGTACTTTATTACTTGGAAGATAAAGAAAAACCCTAGAAATGACCCCAGTTTAAACACTAAAAAAAATGAAAATGTCATAGTTGTATTTCAATACTGAAACCTCTATTCCTTGTCTGAGGAGGTATGGCAGGTGGGAGGGTATCATATTTTAATTATCCATTACTTTAGGGAGGAGGACTATTTATCATACAGACACAGAAACATCTGTTCTCTTAAAAAAAAAGAAGAGCAGCGTGAATAACAAAAGATTTTGCTTTGGTAATAAAAATTCTTTAAGATAGAAGAAATACTTAAAAATAAACATGAATAGGAGAAGCTGTCTGGAAGCAGGTTTTAGATAGATTTATCTATCTGTCTTTTATTTTCTGACCTTGAAAAAATTGTACAATTTAAAATTTGAAATATCCATTGAACTGTCCAGTGCTTCTAGAAACTATTCTAATATAAAATAAATAAATTAGAAAATAAAAGGAAGAAACAAAGCCTTATGAAATTATTTTGGGAAAATTAATGCATGAGACTGAATATTCTGAAAGAGACGATCAAGGCAGCTTACCTTGTCTAACATCACTAAGTGCTATACAAAAAATAGAGTTTAGCCTATAATCCTAGCTACTCAGGAGGCTGAGCTCTGAGGATAGCAGTTCAAAGCCAGCCCAGGCTGTGAAAGTCTGTGAAACTCTTATCTCCAAGAAACCACCAAAAAACCGGAAGTGGCACACCATGACTGACCAAAAAAAATATTTTAATATATAAATATGAGGCAAATTAAATTTTATTCAGTGACAGTTTCATTCAGATTTCAACTCATTTTGACAGGAATGAAATTTTAAAGTCTGTTTTCCGTTACTTTCTTTTCTGTTTATATTCTTTTATGTGTGGACTATATTTTGGTTGTATTTTTGGATGAAAGAACAAATTTGTCTTAAAGCTTATAGAGATTATGCTTCTTTGAAATGCATTCCTAAGCTTATTTTATCTATTCATTTATTACATTTTGCTATTTGATTTTTGTGTGCTATTAAATCTATTTCTTTCCTTTTATTCATACTTTTAATCCTTTAAAAAATTGTCTTTTTTTTTTTTCCAGAGTAGTGGTACCCTTTCTAAGGGTTTTCTCCTGGTTGTTCTATTGTTTTAAATTCCTTGTCATGGGAACAATGTGAGGTTGTGTTGGTATAAGTAGGAGGGTAGTATTTGGGTTGAGTGAATTTTTTTTCGTATTGCCATTCAGTTGTCTTAATGAGTTGTGAAAATATTTTCTTTCTTTCTTTGTTTGAGTTAAAATAGAAATGAGCTAGTAACACCAGAGAAAACTTTCTAAGTACTTTATTTTTGTATTTAAAATCATTCCTATATAGGAATGTTATGTGGATGGGAGAATGGAAACTACTTTTTATTTGTTAGAGATGAATAGATTACTATGATTTTTAACAAGTTTTTTTATTGTGGAAATACTGTATACAGAGGGGTTACAGTTACATGAGCAAGGTAATGAGTGCATTTCTTATCAAGCATTGTTGCCTCCTCCTTTGTTTTTCCCCTACCATCTCTTCCCTCTCACCTCCACAACTACATCCTCCCCCCCCCACCTAAATTGTAAAGTTCATTTTTCAACAAAGTGTCTTCTACATCTCAGATTATTGTGATTTTATATCTGGCATTCTTCTCATTTTACATGACTTAGCCTTTCATCCTAAAATTATAAAGATATTTTATATATCTATTTTCATTAGTGATAAATATGGATGCAAAACTCAAACTGAAAAAAATTCTAGATTAAAATAAAATCTAAAAAGTATTGATATATTTTTTAAATTATTGTAAGCCAGCAAAAGTGGCTGAAAGATGAATTTGACAATTCATATAGAAAACAAAAATAAAAATTTTAAGGTGTATATCCCCAAAATCTGATTAAAGATGCATATACAAAGTATATAAAAATAGAAATACATTAAAATTTAGCTTAATCATGAAAAAAATTAAATTAATTTTTAAACACTTATTCAGTGGAAGACTTACTATTGGTGTTTCTAAATTATACAGGTTAGATAGTATTGAAAATTAAAATGATAGAGATTCTCTGATAAAAGCAGAACACAGTATTCTAATAGACTATCTTGACACAGTATGCTGATGGCTCATGCCTGTAATCCTAGCTACTCAGGAGGCTGAGATTTGAGCATTTGAAGCCAGCCTGACAAGAAAGTCTGTCAATAAGCTACCCCAAAAAGCCAGAAATGGAGCTGTGGTTCAAGTCATACAGTGATAGCTTTGAGAAAAAGAAATGCTCAGGGACAGAGTCTGGGCACAGAGTTCAAGCCTCAGGCTGGCACACATATACACACACTAAAGTTAACTGTATAGATGCTGGGAAGGTGGCTCAGTGGTAGAGCGCTTGCTTTGCATGCCTGAGGCCCTGGGTTCGGTTCCTCAGCACCACATAAGCAAAAAGAAAAAAGCTGGAAGTGGTGTTGTGGCTCAAGTGGTAGAGCACTAGCCTTGAGCTGAAGAGCTGAGGGACAGTGCCCAGGCCCAGAGTTCAAGCCCCAGGAGCGGACCCCCCCCCAAAAAAAAAGTTAACTGTATATGAGAATTTGAAACTATTTCCTTTAATGTGAGCTTTATTTTATCCATAAATAATTTAAAAAAGAACAGATGGTGTCTATTGCTTATGGTACTTAGAAGAAATTTATTAGGTGATAAATTTAGGGTTGTTAGGAATACATTTGTGGGAAAAAGAATGCTCAGCATTCCCAAACTGATGTTTTCACAATAAAATTCTTTTATAATTGCCTTGGTAGGTTTTCATAAAAGAAAATAGAATTTTAGGTTTCTTATCTACAACAATAGAATATAAGTTATTGTTGTAGGCTCCTTTTAGAAGAGTATCTGATGTAGAGAACATACTTTCTCCATTAGTAATAACATGCCCTTTGCACTTAAATATAATCTTTCCAGCTTCTTTGCCTTATTTTTTTTTAATTTTATTTTATTTGTGAACATGCTGTACAGAGGAGTTACAATTACATGGGCAGGATAATGCGTACATTTATTACCAAGCATTGCAGCCTCCTCCTTTGTTTATCCTTCACATCCCTTCCCAGCCTCCCCCCTCCCCCCAATCCCAATCCTTCTCCTTCCCCCCCCTTCCCCCCCCCCCCCCCAACCGACGTTGTAAAGCTCGTTTTGGACATGACAACTTGTACTTCTCATTGTTGCAACAGGTCCACCTGTATCCTTAAACAACTGGTTTTTCCCCATCTCCTCCACAAGTTATACTGACATCAAATATAGTGAAAGCAGGGGTTATACTGTGGGGGAGGGACATACAAACAAAAAAAAAATAATCTTATAAATGCGTTAGAAACATATGCATGAAAGAAAAAAAGATTAAAATACACATCTAACGGTTCATTTTCCTGACATCACATTATCTGACCTTTTCCGCTTGACTCATTATATGCTTGCTTTAGCTTTCATTTTAAACAATATCGAGATCATTAAAATGTCTACTTTTGACTTTATTGTGGATTATGATGGCATTGTCGGTAACTGCGTTGTATAAATAGGATTCTCTGAAGCAGAAGTATTACTAAATGTTATCTTAGTTAACTAAGGAGTTAACACCTAACACCTCTCCTTAATATAACTATGGGAAAATTTTATTTTAACTAACATTTTAATTAATTTTACTCATAATTTAAATTCAGTAGGAAGTATACAGTTTCAAAATTAATATATAGAATTGTAAATACTTAAAACATTCCCTACTCATGTTAGCAAAAAGAATAGTTTTCATCTGCAAGTAATGGAAAGGGAAATACAACATAAAATATAACATATGAAGTTGCTGTTTTAGGATGCATTTTTTTTTTTGGTCTGTCGTGGGGCTTGAACTCTGGGCTTGGGCACTGTCCCTCAGCAATTCAGCTCAAGGCGAGTGCTCTACCGCTTGAGCCACAGCCCTACTTCCTAGACTCTGCAATTCTTAAGTGTATCTAGTGGGTTAAACCAACCGCAGGTAACTCTCATAATGACAGTATTATTACAAAATATGTTAGCGTAAATACATAGAATAAAACTATTTTCCTCCTTTATTTTTTGCGGACACTGAAATTTAATATTCTGCCACTATGTCAAAAGTATGGTAAGTACTTGTGACATAAAAACTACTTTCATCTTTAATAGTGCCAAGTGCACCAATATAATAAACTATACCTCCTTAAATGGTTCATTTCTAATGAAGCAGAGCTAACTACCTTGTGTAAGATAGCTCATTTTGGATTGTTTTTAATAATCTGATTTTACTCAAGAAGACCTATGTATTTGTAGGTCTTTTACTCTTCCCAAACAAATTTAATCAGAAAGCATTTTTAAATGAAATTATGTGCCATGCTTTTTTAGATGTAAAAAGTGCACTTAGTTTACAATTTAAAAAGTTTTAGATACAAAAAACACTGTAATTTTTTGCTGAAAACATGGAGAGCATCATTATTGCTTACTATTTTTTGTTAGCATACATTAGCCCAAGGGGGAATTAGTTGCAGTTATTCCACAAATGCATACAGAATACTTTGAACAAGTTTACCCCCTTAGAGGGAAATCTTTTTTCTATTTTAAAAAGCTGGCTATTGATTTATCGCTGTTTTTTTCAAGCACCTTTAACTTCGATTTTAAAAATGGCATATGCTTTGTTAAGAAAAATATCCACATTTTTTCTTTTCATTTCTTTTTGCCTCTCCTGGGGCTTGAACTCAGGGCCTCGGTGCTGTTTGTCCCTGAGCTTTTGTGGACCAGGCTAGTGCTCTATGACTTTGAGCCATGGCTCAATTTCTGGCCTTTTGGTAGTTAATTGGAAAAAGAGTCTAATGGATTTCCTTACTTGGGCTGATTTTGAAATGTGATTCCCAAATCTCAGCCTCCTGAGTAGGTAGGATTATAGGCTTGAGCTCCCAGCACCTGGCTCCAACTTTTTGAAATATAACTAATTGGGAGAGAGCTAGTTAAAAGATTGTCTAGAAATAAACACAAAAATTCAGAATATGTTTAGAATTTAAAAATTATATTTGCTAAGTTCAAATTAAAAAATGAAATACTAAAAACTTACATTCATGGTTCCTTGGGAGCTTGAATTTTTTCAACAAGACCCTAATATTAACAAATAGAAAAAAATTAAAGCACTTTTACATAGGTCAAAATGTTTCAAAAAATTTTTTTATTGTGAGAATACCATACAGAAGAGTTACAATTACATGGGCAAGATAACAAGTACATTTCTTATCAAGCATTGCTGCCTCCTCGTTGTTTCCCATTCCCATCCCTTCCCATACTCCTCCCCTCCCCCCACTCAATCCCCCCCCCAAAGTTGTAAAGTTTGTTTTTTGACATAACGACTTGTAAATCTCATTGTTGCAATGGGTCCACCTGTATCCCTAGTAAAACGATTTGTTTTTTTTTCCCTTCCCCTCCACAAATTATACCTACATCAAAAACAGTGAAAGTATGGGTTATACTGTGGGGGAGGGACATACAAAGCAACATAGAAATCATCTTATAAATATGTTAGAAACAATTGCATGAAAGGAACCCACCCCCCAAATTTAAATACTTATCTTCATTCCCCTGACATCAACTTATCTGACCTTTTCTGCTTGACATATACTAGTTATTGCAAATAAGGGAAACCATGGGACCTATGTTTCTTTGGGCCTGGCTTACTTAATATAATTTTTTCCAAGTCTTTCCATTTCTTAACAAATGGGGCAATGTCATTCTTTCTGATGGAGGCATAGAATTTCATTGTGTATATATATACCACATTTTCTTGATCCATTATTTACCATAGCTAAGATATGGAACCAACCCACATGCCCCTCAGTAGATGAATGGATCAAATTTTTGTAGATTAGAAAACTATGGGATTTGCATTGTTGAAAGTGTTATGAATAAGCCTAATCACAATGTAAATAGATTGTGACATGAGAGGGAAATTTCAGATTTGAATTCTTTGAGTCCTGACTTTACCTCAAATCAAACATTCATTGAAAAAAAAGCATTTTAGAAACTTGACCAACATAAGCTAGCATGGATATTTCTATACCTATAAGTGGAAACAGAATACTTGATTTTGAGAAAATGTGGTTTTAGAGAGAGAAAAATTTGAAAGAACAGTAATGCCCTAGAATGAACCACAGAGCTATCAGTGGTATGAATCAAGGTTGTTTTTTTTTTAGCTTTTTTAAAGTTATTGATAGATTTCACAGTTGAGTACATAGTGAGAATATAGAAATTGTTTTCTTTCTATTAAAAACATTATTATGAAATCTTTTCAAATTAAAGTTGTTTGCAGTTTTCAGAATGAAATAAAATACCAAAGAAAATACCGGTAAATTATGGCAATCTTAACTTTATATCTTCCTAACACTAAATTTATTTAGTCTTCCTTTGTTCAAAACACAAAAAAGCAAATTATGTGACATATCAAGCTGATTTCCTGTGAAGATTTTATTAAAAAGTCACTTCTCAACTGAGTGTGTCTGAGGTCTTTCATCTTAACTAAGACAAAAAGTCAAAAAAATAGATGGATTGCTGTCCAGGTACACACCTGGGTAAGAAGTGAGACGTGATTCCTTAGTAGAGCTCCTGTATAGCAAATCTGAGACCAAGAGTTCAAGCCTCAGTACTTCCAAAACAAAAGAAAGTCACTCACCAGCATATATGTTTACATAGTTCCTGTTCTTTCAGAAATGTGGAACAATCACAAACATGAGGATTTCCTAGAAAAACCTTTGAAAGAAAAATAAAATGCCAGTTAATCTTTAGAGTTATAGCAAAACTAAGTTGACATGTATCTAGATTAAAAGAGATTTGAAGTGGCAATTTGGGCTAGGTGACTCCAAACTGATTTTATTACTGACCAGAATCTACCGGAGAATTTTAACTGTTGACACTGAATTCCAGGCTAATTTTTCACTTCTTATTCTTGGCCTTGTTTATTGCCTTATAAATAAAGACACTTTTTAAATCACCTGTGCTCACCTAAAAGTAAACCTAAGTTTAAAATCTGTACCTCTCTAAATGGTTAATTTCGGACAAAATTTACCCTGGAGTGAAGCTAAATACTATTTGTAATGTAGTTCACTTTAGATTTTTTTTTTAAATTTCAAATTTAACTTCATTTAAGAGAACTAATTTTATACAACCAAGACTACATAAAAGTTGACTAAATTCAGTATGTTTTATAAGGAGCAAAATAAAAGGTGTTGTAAACAAGCAGTATCCAGTACTATAAAACGTGTGGCCCTATCTTCATATGTTCTATATCCACCACTAGGAGGTGTCGTGGAGGCTGATTTTGGACCTATGAGAATGAAGTGTAAATATAAAATATTCTTTGGTCTTTGAGTAAAACAAAAAAGGGAGTCTTATTCATTAAGACCTTTCCAAAGCCTCCCCATTTAAACTATAGTTTCATGGGGCCTTGCTATTGATTTAGAATAAGGAAACACTGACATTTATTTAGCAAATATTTACAGTATGTCAGCAGATTGTAGGATTTTTCCATTTGTTTGATTTAGAGGGCTAGTGACTGCTAACTAGGGATCCATAATATGCATATTGCAAGCTAAATATTTGTGTACAATCTCTGACATTTTGAAGCCTTAAGATTAAGGGCCACCATTGTGTAACATTGGGGTGTAATTCAAAGCCCTAACGTCCAACAAAGAAACTTTCCTGGTAAATACTATTTCCCTCTGTTATTTACACATTTTTCGAAGTCCGGGGAACAGGGGAGGATGTGTCTTTGGATTTAGACAGATAGGGTTTTCAGGGGCTATGAGCGTGGCTAAGCCCACAGTTGGTTCTGGGGAAAACCAGAGAGACCCTGCTGGTGTTGAGGGAAGGGACTGGGGCAGAGGCAAATGGGGAGGGGGGGGGAGTGCTGTTTTTACTCGGAAATTCTTGGTTTCTGGCTCTTCCTCTCTCAGCAGGAAACCGGTGGGTCCCATCTCTCTCAGAAGATAGATGCTGCTATTCAGAGCCTGGTCTTGTTGCCAGCTGAGGCTGTCGCTCAAATGTCTTCGCCTTTCAGAGGCCTTAGGGCCTCTGGGGCGAAGCATCCTGTTTGGTGTGTGAGGCCTCTGGGCCAGGCTTTCAGGGGCTGCTGGTCTCTATGACAACAGCTTGCAGGTGGGTTTCCTCAGTGATGGTGGTTAGGTTCCAGGCCTCCTGCCTTTTGCTGAACTAGAGCTAACTCTTTTCTGGAAATAACACTACTGATGAATGCTTCTAGTAGACAACTGGACCATGGAAATGGATGAAATCTACATATTAGGATGTTATAACCCAGTCAAGTTAGTGCTCCTCAACCGTTAAAATTATCTTCTAGTAATTCCACATTTTTTCTGAAGGCCAAAAGTGATCACTGACGTTCAGAAATAGTTTACAAACATTCCCCTGTTGCTTATAATGTGCACAGACTGAATGAGTCGCTTGGAAAGATGTGCAGGGTAGGTCGAAAGGAGAAAGCAAGGTCCTTGAGAGGTGTGTGTGTGTGTGTGTGTGTGTGTGTGTGTGTGTGTGTGTGTGAAGTTTGGGTGGGGTTTGAGTACTGGGGACTTGGGGGTTGACACAGAACCCATTGATGTAGGCATTTCCCTAAAGTTACAAATTTGTTAAAAATCTGTTAAAATTTATTAAAAATATCTATAGTTGGATAAAGAGGTTTCAGCTCAACATGCCAATTTATCAATTTTTAAGTTCAATGCATTGATCAGTGTCACCCCTTCCATCATTACCCCCTCTATCCTAACCCCACCCATCCTCTCCTTCCTTACTTCTATCTTCACATATGTGTTATGACTGTATTTACCCAGCATTCCTCTCTCCATTTACCTGTATCTCTCCCCCTAAAGCCTCAGTTAAAACATGCTCTGTAGGTGTAGATGCATGACTCATCTGACAAAAGCATGGTATATACAGAGATGGAATCCCATGTTGTATTTTCTTTGAACAATTAACAGATAGCTGTATCAACAGCAGGAAACTGAAGTAAACCTTTATTCTTTTTATTGGGGGACGGGGGAGGGTTGTGGGGCCTGAACTCTGGGCCTGGGTGCTGTCCCTCAGCTCTTCAGCTCAAGGCTAGCACTCTACCACTTGAGCCACAGCGCCACTTCCGGCTTTTTCTTTTTGCTTATGTGGTGCTGAGGAATTGAACCCAGGGCCTCATGCATGCAAAGCAAGCACTGTACCACTGAGCCACCTTCCCAGCCCTAAACCTTTATTTTTAAGGGAAAGATTTCCAAAGTATATAGTGTTGACCCAATAATGCTGATTGTCTCTGAGCTTTGTTCTCATGTTCTATGGGGAGAACCTTCATAAAGCAGTGCTATTGTTTCTGAAAAAGAAGCCATCTTGCTAGAATCTGAGAAACTGAAAATGGGAAACAGCACAAGTGGATGGCCCACTAACAAAACAGGACAGAAAGTATTTGTCTCATTTTATCATCTGAGGAAACCATTAGACTACGTCAAGGGCAGAAGATGAGAAAATGGCAATAGCTACCATATGAAAAAAGATGATGGTTAGGAAACCTGCACGTGTGAGCTATCTGGATGAACACCATGAAGACAATATTTTTCAACTACTCTAAGTAAGAACAGCTAACATACCTACTACTGTACTGCCAGTATTGCATCAGTAAAACATTAGAACACAAAGCTAAAATTTACCACTATGCATTAGAAAAAATTCATTAAGAGAAAAATAAACTATAAATTAAACTAATTTATTTTACACATTGACTTACTTTACACTTAAAAAACTGAATAAATTACAATCCTTATTTTCTTTACAGCAAGATGAGTTGGATTTCAGAGTGAAAATGCATTATTTCTATCACCATTCCTCTTTAACCCTATATGTGAGAGTATGCATATAAATGTATATATTTAATTATTACAAAAAGCCATCATTTTAAAGCTGTTGTGCTTTACTTAGGATAGTGTGTAAGTGATAAACATTTTAAAAATAATTATTTTTTGTCGGTCATGGGACTTGAACTTAGGGCCTGGGTGTTGTCTCTGAGTTCTTTTGCTCAAGGCTAGTGCTCTACCACTTTGAGCCACAGTGTCACTTCCAGCTTGAGTGATTAACTGGAGATAAGAGTCACATGGGGACTTACCTGCCTGGGCTGGCTTCAAACCACAATACTCAGACTCCTGAGTAGCTAGGATTACAGCTGTGAGCCACTGTGAGCTAAAAAGATTAAATTCTTAATATACTATACTAATTTTGTAAATCACATACAAGTTCTCATGTTTCATTATTTAGGGGAGAGTAAAAATGATACCACTCATGCCTTTATGGAAGTTTAAAAGAGATTCCAGATTGCCTGACAGAACTTCAGTCTAGCTATAAGGCATTTGTTTTTATATCTGTCAGCTAAAACTTCAGAAACATTTGTATATCCAGGTGACTACTCATATGTTTGATTCTTCATCTGTTAGAATTGTTGACAGGGGTAATATTTTGCAAATATCTAATTGGAGAATTACATTCTCCCCTAAATTCACAGTTCCTCCCTTCCAAGGTCCATTTTAAGTCAAATTAGCCCAGGGAGGAAAGAGATGGTCACGACTAGAAACAAAGTCTGACCTTCATGGATTAATAAACTTGAGTTTTATGCATTAATTTGTAGTTTCTTTGCAATGCAATTGATCACAAAAGCAAGAGTTAATAAAATACGATATCTGCAGTTTAAAATATAAAAGCTAGGCCTGCATTATTAGAATGATGGGAAGTGCAGCAAGTTAGTGGAAGAAGTCAGGTTGCAAATCTCAACATGGATGTGCATGTGTATGGGACCTTGTGAAATGCTGGACTAAGATGGGTATGAGATGATTGATTGGAGCAGCTGTGTGTGTGTGTGTGTGTGTGTGTGTGTGTGTGTGTGCATATGTGTGAACAGTATGCTGAAGTAGTCTTAGTGGGATGGAATCTATGAGGAAATATGTGTCTAACACAAAGTGGGTAGAAGTCCCAGAGTTTCCAGTGGGAGAAACATGAGCTGGATTTATTGCCTTGAATCTTAGAAAACATGCAATAAACACAGGATCTCATGTCTGCTTCTTGTGAATGGGCAAGAAAGAAAGGCAGAATGCGAGTAGTGTCTGGAAAAGATGGCAGAAATTTACTGACTCTTGGAATAAATTGAACCTCAGACTCCAGTGGAAGGTGCCCACATGAATCTTTTGAAAAATTCAGCTACAACTGGTCACTTGTAGTGATCACCAACAGGGAGAAGGCCACTTTGTGAACGTCAGGTCCTCATCTCATGCAACCCTGTCACACTCAGTGCTGCTTAAGCTTCAGTTCCCTTGTCCTATATATCTTTCTAGAAGAGTGGGTAGAAATCTGAAATTTTAAGCATTTTATTCTTAATAGTGATAAAGGCAGCCTTAGCCTTTCGACAGTTAGCAAACTTTAGACAGATTTATTGTTCACTGAAGATTCCTGATTTCCCTTGTCTTAGAAAATTTGTTCTCTGTCTCTCAGAGATGTAAAGATAGTCTTCAAGTCTCTTGCCAGTATCACAACTCAGTATTTTTTTCAAAGACCTGACTCCAATAGAAAATACAATGATAAAGTACATTTATAAAAAAATTGAAAAAGAAGATAGGGCCGGGTACCTGTAGCTTACTCTGGTAATCCTAGCTACTTAGGAGGCTAAGATCTGAGGATAGTGATTTGAAGCCAGCCCAGGCAGGAAAGTCCATGAGACTCTTATCTCCATTTAACTAACCTACAAAAAACTGAAAGTGGAGGTGTGGCCCAAATGCTTAAGTGATAAGAGTGCTAGCACCCCACATCCCCAAATCATAGAGAATCAATTTGACCAAAGTGCATTATGTGCATGTAGAAGTATCATAATATAGCACATTTGTATAATTAAACACACTTATACAAGAGATGAAAAATGAATAGAACTTTTGTATCCTAATCTTTGTGGCAATGTAAGAGCCTAATTTAATTGCCAATTACCAAATATAGTGCTTGTTACAATGTGTAAGGGCTTTCAGTGTTGCTCACTTCAATCTCTCTCCTTTATTGCAATGGTATTAATAGTTTTCTGTGCCTACTTAACTCTGTTCAGTGAAGTTTTTCTTTGACAATAGACAACTTACAAGTTGGACTAAACTACTTTTCACAAAGGTTGTTTCTTCTTGTGATTAAGGAGAGTGGAGGTTATCGAAGATGATTGAATTATTTTGTTCAATATCTTGCAACACAGATGTAACTGATAATAATTAAGTGGTAAATGAACATGTATAATTTAGAAATACAATTTTAACTTATTAGGATGTGATTGGGACTTTCAGTTTATGATGTCACACTGAGTACACAGTGTCATTTCTTCTACTTGAAGAGTATATGGTAATAAAGTTTCAATCTCTGACAACTGGAGAGGACTGTGAGGTAAGTACAGTTCCAAATGGTGTATGCTCTTGTATACTTTCTCCATTTGTCTATGCCAAGATATGGCAGAGAAATATTCAGATATAATTAAGGTTACCAATTAGTTGACTTCTAGTTAACTGAAAGGGAGATAACTTCAGTTGGTCTAATCCAATCTTAGGAACCAATGAAGGAGCAAATAGTACTATAAGCATGATTTTCTTACTGGCATGACATTGGAAAGATCATATAACAAGGGATTCCGGAGCCTCTCAAGGAAAAGATTGGCTTGTGGCAAACAGTACTCAAGGGAATGGAGTCCTTAGACCTTTATTAACGAGGAAACTAAATATGTTTGAAAATATATTTGTGTTTGAAAATATATTTTTCCCCAGAGCCTCCAGATATGGCCACTATCTGGCTGATAATTTATTTTAACTTTGTGTGACATAACAAAGAACTTAGCCAAGCCTCTCTGGACTTCTGAGCTGCAATACTCCGAGCTGGTTAGATTGTGTTATCGGAAATCCCCATGTTTGTGTTCATTAATTATGCAGCAATAGAAAATGAATATGGGTCACTGGCAAATTAATTATATCAACAAACTATTAAATGAATATGTATGGATAGAAAATCCTGGTTGATGAAAAAGGGAATAATT